TCATGTGACTAAATACTTCTAAGAATATTTTGTATTTGGTCACATCCCAGCTAATTTTTTATTTTTTTATAGGGATTGCATCTGGTATTTAAATCATAGATTAGCTTATAGTTCTACTTACCATGAAATACAAATAAAAAAGTCAAATATTTGATCAAAAAACATTTTGTGTTGTTATGAGGAGTTTGATTTTTCAGTCAAAATGTTAAATATATGTAAAATATCCACCTTTTTCAATAGCCTGCACTGGAGGGTTAGATTTTAAACATTCTTGAATGTGATCTGGAGAAAAACTAAATCTCTCCAAGGGACACAGCTCATCTCTCACAGAAAAGATAAAACAAAAATAAAGCACATGAAGGTTTGTTGTTGCAATATGACAGTGTATGGAAAAGGTCAAATAGTGAGAAAACTTTTGGAAGGCCATGAAAAAAGGCTACATTTCATGAACTCAATGCATTTCCTCTCATGGGTGGGATAATTTTCAACAGGAGGAAGGATTAAAATATTCAGTAGCTTGTCTAATATTTTTGCAGTATTTGTGTTTGCCAGTGAGATTGTGATAATTGTCGTTTAATCCCAAACACATTTATGAAGTGAGCCAAGAAAACTCCAGATTGGTCTATTAATAAATAGATCAAATACGGTCTCAGTTATTCTCTTTGAAAACGATTATAGCTCTCATTTGTGCAACAGCCCTCAAACTGCCTGGAGCCTTGCTGCAGAGCCCCGCACATTAACAGCTATGAAGTGGAGTTTTCTTGTAAATTATCTTTAAAGCTCTCAGATTTATTTTTTGACTGCCTGAAGTGTCTGATTTAATGCTCGCCTGCAGTGCCCTGCTATCAACTTTGGCTGAATGCTATAAACAGGAGAAAAGCCATTACTTTGCAAGTTTTTCCACAGGAAATCTTTTCTTGCGCTTTACCATCAAAGTGTGATATAATGCACAACTGAGCATGATTGTGTGTGAGAAATAGAAGTCATTTGCAAAAGCAGACTTTACAGCTTTTTTGGGGCAGTTGATGTGGATGGAGATCTCCTGGGTCACTGATGAGGTGCTTTAGTAAGCATCAAGTAAGAGCGCTTAGCCTTTATAGTGATGCTTCACCAAACTCCCTATTAACGCATCGGATGACTTCCCCTGAGGGAATAAAATATGGAGCTGTATGCAGTATGCTTCCTTTCAGCAGTGGTGGTTGATCACTGGAAAGCTGTGTTTCCTTGCTCTTTTTTTTCCTTTTTTTAGTTAAAGACTGAAAGTTTCCTATAGAGATTAATGAAAGTAAGTATGGATAGCAACTCAGCAGATTAACAAAGGGAGAGTCTACTAATCAAAGAGCCAACAACTGTGAAAAATTAGTTTCTCTGGGGGGCTGTCTTGCCGAAAGGAAGATTATAAAATCACAAGATTTTTAGAAACATGCCAGGGTACTTACACGTCAAGCTACATCGTTCTTTGTAAGGATGTGAACTGAGATGAGAAGAAGCATGGAGCTGGAAACACATTATGTGCATGGATTGTTAGCTTTGCTAAAAATTCAAATGTGTTGACTTCAGACACAGCTGAAAAAGAATGGATCGATAGCAACATACGTCCCGTTTTTCTTAGAGCGCATTCAAAATTGGCAAATATTCAACCCGTTTAACAGTCACGACTGTTATCATTTTGATAGAGGAACAGTGTGTTTTTCTAGATTACAATGTTTACATGTTGTAAAATCTTGTAATATATAGCATTTGGTAATTGGTTCAGTCTCACAAAAAAACATAGGGTAAACCTTACCTGAAGGACTGTTATGTTACTTATAGAGTAGCCTTATTTTCTATTTGTGTGAATCTATGTGGTGTGTATTAAACAATTATTTAGTTTGATAACATGTAAATGACATTTGCAATGCTGAATAACATGCATACATCTTCAATTAAAGGTGATAATGACCCAGAACAATTTGACTAGGTCCCTATAACCACCAAAGGGTACAGCTAATACAGAACAGCTAAGTGGGAGGCAGTGGAAGCGATTATCATGAATGGTTGCTATTATCACAAGGCACAAATCTCACATGAAAAGGTGATAACAGTTCTTCACATATATGACTTTAATTTATGCCAGGAATCTATGGAAGCTGTGAAGTGCACAGTCTTCACCTGTTTGAAAAGAAAGATCTCTATCCCCAGTCTATCGAAAGAGAGAGTATCTGAAATTCATTTAAAAGATGATTATTAAATTAATTTAATGTGATGCTTAGTGAGCGAACATATTGAGCCAATGTCCCGTTGCTTAAAGAAATGTAGCACTAGGTCCTGCAAGACAAGATTTTCAGTATGTGTTGCATGGCTGAGCACTGAGGACATCCCTTGAGGCTATAAAAACAGCACAAGTGTGAGATGGGGAAATATGCTGCTTTTGCTCAGTAAAACAGATGTCTAACTATTTAAGTGTCCCCAAGGAGACAAAAGGGAACAACAGTTATTCAAGGTTACTTAAATAATTTTAAGGAATGATTTTCATTATCTCTGTTGTAACTCTCTGTTTTAACTTATAAGCCAAAGGGCTGCTGGATGTCTACAAGTGAAAAAATAAATTAAATGAATTTGGATAACATTGAAGTTGTGTATGATATAAAAAGTCTACATATAGTGTATTTATGCAAGGCTTTGAAATTCAGAAAAAATAAAAAAATAAGAAGAGAAAGAAACTGCATTTAAGTGGTTAAAAAAACAGTCAAATGAAATAAAAATACAGGATATTGTACATCACTGAAATGCAAAGAAGATAAGTAAGATATTAATTAAATAAACTATTTAAATTTGAAGTTAGCATCAAAATAACAAGGAGATGGATGTGTCTCTGATTTTAATATAACTTTCAAGGGGAACAGATCATTAATAAAAACTATTTGATTGTAAGGCTGCACAGTGTTGCAGTGCGCAGCACAGCTGCCTTGCAGCAAGAAGGTTCTGGGTTTTATTCCTGGCCTGGGGAATTTATGCATGGAGCTTGCGTATCTTCCCCATGCATGTGTGGGTTATCTCTGGGTACTCCTGCTTCCTCCCACAGTCCAAAAACATAACTGTTAAGTTAATTGGCTTCTCTAAAGTCTCCTTGGCTGTGAGTGTGTGTGTGTGTGGGTGAATGGTTGTTTGTCTCTGTGTTGCCCTGCGATGGACTGGCGACCTGTCTAGGCTGTACCCCCTCGCGACCACAGCAGAGATAACCGTGAATTCTGAAATTTAAGTGAGATTTCTGAGAAAAAAGTCAGAATTCTGAGATTAAAGTCAGAAATCTGAAATTAAAGTCAGAATTCTACGATTAAGATGTAATAAAATTCAGAAATCTGTCAATTTTTTTTTTCAGTGGCCATAATCCTCTTCCGTATAACCACAATAAAGGGATCAACGAGAAGAGACACCTCTGCTAGGGAGGTGGAAGGCCGGAAAGATTGCATGTGGATGGTCGTTTGGTGCATGGCGCGTGTTTTGAAGCTGCTTATGGAGAAATGTCTTGGGCCGTGAGTAGTGAGGAAACAGGAAGCGATTCTTGTGGGATGGAAGAGGGAAATAGTGACAATGAAGGTTGGAAGATAGCAACATCAAAAAATGAGAAAAAGCGGAAAAAACAGAGATCAGTTCAAGGGGAATCTAGTTCAGAACAATCCAGTGATGATCATTCCATACATTCCACAGCACAACAAAATGAATTCAAAGTCATATTCAAAGTCGTTAATCAGGCAGACTCTTTTACAAATTGGAATCCGGTTCACTTAACAAAAACCATCAATAAACTTGTCGGAGAAGTCAGAGGTGCCAGAATTCTGTACAGTGGAGACCTGCTAATTATCTGCAGAGACAGCGCCCAGCAAGGCAAAGCAATACGGATCAACAAAATTGACGGGATAAGAGTTCAGTGCAGCTTAATGGAGAACAAAAAGTTCAGCAGGGGAGTCATTGGAGGAGTTCCTCTAAAAATTTCTGAAAAAGAGATTCTGGAAAACATAAGAGGTGCAAAAGTAAAAGAAGTAAAACGGTTAAAAACAACAAGAAACGGAGAAAGATCTGACAGTTTATCTGTGCTAATTAAATTCGAAGAAGAGCAATTACCAAGCAAAGTATTCATCGGTTACATAAGCTATAATGTCAAAATCTACAATCCTCCACCATTGAGATGTTTCAAATGCCAAAAATTCGGTCACATTGCAGCAGTTTGTAAAGGGAAACAGAGGTGTGGAAGGTGTGCAGGAGAACATGAGTACGGAAAATGTGGAAAAGAAGCTAAAATAAAATGCTGTAATTGTGGTGGAGAACATACTGCTGCCTATCGCGGCTGTGAAGCAAGCAAAAGGTCTGAGGAAATTAAAAAAATGAAATTTGAGCTCGGAATAACCTACGCTGAAGCTGCAAAAAGGATCCCATCTCAGTCAGAAAAACCCAAACCTACAGTTCAACACACAGCAAATTCCAAACCTCTAGAGAAATCTCTAAAAATTGATGAAGACTCACTTATTGTTAAAAAGACAAATTTTGTTCTTTTCATGGTAGAAGTTATTAATTGTACTGCACAGACAACAAAAAAAACGGAAAAAATCAAAATAATAGTGAAGGCTGCAGAAAAATATCTGGACATTAAAGATTTGAACTGGGAGATGGTTGGAAGTATGATGGGAGGACCGATGGGACCATCAGAAACTGGCAGAGTTAAGATGACCTAGAGTAAATTAAAATTATATGGGCAAATGTGATTTAGTATTATGTTGGTTTAAGTTACACAGGTTTTTTTTTTTTTTTTTTTTTTTTTTTTTTTTGGGGGGGTGAATCGTTTCCTGTTTTCTTGCTTTACTCCATATCAGTTGGTGGCGGTAATGCACAATTCACAAGTCTGCCAACCGCCATAAAATCCCATAAGAAGAAGAAGAAGACACCTCTGCTAGTTGGTGGTCATCCAGAGGGGGCGCTGTCGCGGTTTCGTACCTTTCGAAACAAAGAAGCAGCCAGGAGACCTTTTATATTTCCAAAGAAGAAGAACCCGGCTTTACTAATCCTTTCGTACTGTACGTCATATTCAGTTGGTGATGATCTTGTCGCACAGTAGTCTGTACACTATTCCTGTCCTCATAATGCTGTCCCTCCTGGGGTCACGAAGTCTATGTCAAGTTGTTACCGAAGTCAACCGAAGGTCTTATCCGACTGTAGCTTCGTTTATCCGGAGTTACACCACCCCCACTCCAACATGCGGAGGAACATATGACGACGGTAAATGAAATAAAAAAGAGATTTTATAGGACCGTGTCCTTCTGGAGTCACCTCTGAAAGCACACATGCATGAATGTGACATTTATATTTAACATAAGAGCTGTTTTTTTTTCTTTTCGTTTTTTGGTAGATATTATGTTCTAATTGCTTAATGTTTTAAGTCTGCTTCTTAATTCTGGCATTTCTGCTTACGGCAAGTTGGGAAACGGCTAACTCTTCCTGTAAAGTTGTGGGAGTTGCTGAGCCATGGGTTTGATTTTACGAGAGTATTTTAATGTTTTTGAACGCTTGTTCACCTTAACCTCTGAACGTTCAGAGACTTTTCTGCTCAGTCACGGTGACTGATGGTTTTACATGGAAACCTGCATTGTTTTTTTTTTATCAACTGTGTAACACTCTTCCTTAGGAATCCAGCTGTCAGACCAGATTACAACCTATTTTTATGAGCTGATTTTACACCCAGCCTTATGTGTTTGATTAACATACATTTTGTTTTTGATCAGAGCTGTTTGACATTCTGATTTTGGGAATTTACTTTTTGGATAAGTTGTACATTTAACTGAAATTCTTCATCAGCAGCACAGAAGATGTTAAAGCAGCTGGAAACATGCAGGAGCTGGCTTTACTAAAGTTGGTGAAATTGTTTTGTAGATAGTAAAAATCATCCATCCTTGGTTAGTAAAGCATTTTTCTGGATGATTTAAAAACAGTTAAAAGAAAAAAACCCAAAACATTAAGAATACACCTGACAAAAGTTCCAGTGCTCTGAAAGTGAACTTGGTCACCACAGTTTTTATTGATAGTTGACAGCTTTTACAACTATAACCACTAAAAGCACAGACTAAACATTATATATAAACTTATATTAAATACTTTATACCACCTTTCAAAATTATTAACAAAATACATAATTATAAAAAGTGAAAAGTCAGAAGAATGTGAAAAGGTAGACAAGAAATGCTCTGACTTTTCAATATCAGTGTATCTTGAAACCTTCTCCGGAATGTAAACAAAGACGGTAAAGTTGAGCATTTATTTTTTCTTTATGTACAAACTTAAAGTCCTTCTTATCTAGTCTGGTCCATAAACCCTTTAACCTTAGCTTAGCCTGTTATGCAATCATTTTCTGAAAAAGTTTATTTTTTTTCTCTTGGGCTGCTGTTTGCCTCGACGTACTGAACAGGGTATTATAATTCTGTGAGAAGTTGCTTGACATAGAATGTGGTTTCAAATAGTTTTAAAGATGCATTATTTGGTTTACAAATTCTAACATTTGGTTTGTGAGAGTTCTTTGACGGGATTTCCTCAGCAGATTTTGATGAAAAATAATCAATACATGTCAGTATGGACTAGGGTTGTCAAAAATATTAATACTTCAAAAAGTGCCGATAGTTGATGCTGTAATCGGTTTCAAAACTATTTTTGCTATTCTTAAATTTTAGTTTTCTGTAGTATCTATGAATTAAAATAATAATTCCTCATGCAAACTCTGATTACAATTAAATTGTTTTACTTTTGGATTAATAAATTCCCCTTTAAGATTAATAAAGTGTTTTTGAATTAAATTGTTTGCATTAATTTGCACACTTATTTAAATAGCAACTGTGTTTCTATTTAGAAATTATGCTCCATGCTGAGATAGAATGATTTTTTATGCTGATAAAAAAAAATTTTATGCCTCTAATTATTTCTTTCTTTTTTTTTTATCTCCATGGTAGTGTATCGACAATCATATCTATGTTGAATGTTTTCCTGGTATAGATACCAAGTTTGAAATGTTGGTACCGTGAAAACCCTATAGTAGCAATAGATTAGGTAGATTTATATTGAGGGAAAGATTTGAAGTCGGTTTGTTTCTCCTCAAGATTTTGATAATTATAGCTTATAGATGCTGCAGACGTGCAATTCAGAAACAGGCCTTTAGATATAATGAACCTTGATGTTTTTTCTGAAAAACTGTATCTTAGAGAGTGCTGAGTAAAACTCTTGTTGCATTTGATGTAAAATCTTTATTACAAGCTGTTTTTAAAAGCGCCACCAGGTTTTGGTGAAGTGATAAAAAGCTGTTTGGAGGCTCATTAGCATAACATCAGGGAAGAGCTGACTGGAAAATGTCATTGTTTCAATAAAAACATTGTAACTATGACCTTTAACCTCTCTTTTTCTTCATAGAAGCGTCAATAGTGACCCCCTCACAGTTGAAGTCCATGCTGTCCAGCCGTAACATTCAGCTTTTTGATGTGAGGAACCCAGATGAATACCAGGAAGGCCACATTCCTCAAGCAGTCAACCTTCCATGTAAGTAGCAATGCATGTACAGTCTAGTTCAAAGCGATTTATCTAGAGGTTTATCTTTACCATTTCCTTCGCAATGACTGATTTTTTCTTTTTTTCAAGTGGATGTTGTGGAGGAGTCTCTGAAGCTGCCTGCTGAGCAATTTCAGCAGAAGTTTGTAGTCAAGGCTCCTGGGAAAGATGATGCCAACATAGTGTTTCACTGCAAAACCGGCATCAGGAGCGCTGAGGCTCTGGGCATTGCTCGTCAACTGGGATTTCACAGGTAAAAACAGGCACATCTCCATTTACAAATCGTTGACAAAGCAGGAGCTGAGATAACCCCTTATTTTTTTTCCTGCATGCGTCTTTTTCTCAGGGCAAGACATCTGAAAGGAGGATATAGTGCCTGGGTTGAGCAGGAAGGAAACTGAATCCCAGTAAAAATCTACTTGCCATCAGAGACAGCTTTTTAGAAGTGCAAAATACTAAAGCAACACTCCAAAACGTAAACATTTTTCACTTTGGCAGCTTGCGAAACTTTGGTTGTTTTAAGTTATGACATTTTAGAAGCTTTATTTAAACCTACGGATTTTAATGACAGTAACTATGAAATCTGGGTAACTACTGAAAGTGTCTTTTATTCTAGATAAAGTCGTAGGACATGTGCTCAGTGTAAAAATGTTTCATGATAATAAAGTGTTCCAAGTTTTAAAAGGTCTCTTTCTGGAGTTTTCCTTTTGAAATAATCATACAGGTTTGTACAGTAAATTTTATTTCTGCAGCTGAAATCGAGTGTTGTAGGTTCCTAATTACTATGCTGCGTTGGATGATTTTGCAGCAAACATTTTCTTTAAAGTCTCTACACCACTGAACATGAAGAAACCGATATCAGTAACCCTTCTTTTGTGAACTTCTGGTAAGATTGAGAAAGTTTAAATTGAGGAGAAAAAATAATTAAAATGAAAACAATGGCTGAATCTTTGGTTTTTTTCTACCTGAACTTGATTTAGAGGAAGACATTGGAAAGGGAACAGCAAGGCTGTAACAAACCTTTGGTTTGTGATATATATAAAAATTGAACTATCAAAATCTATGGTTGTTGAGGTAATATGGTTGATCTCAGTTTCAGTTTATTTTATTTATATAGCACAAATTCACAACACGTCGTCTCAAGGCACTTTACAGTTCAACCAGATCATCCAGTCAAATTGATTCAAAGTTTTCGATTTAAGGAAAACCAGTTGATTGCAATGACTCATTGACTCGGATGCAATCCCTCACACTAAGCATGCTTGTAGCGACAGTGGAGAGGAAAAACTACCTTTTAACACGAAGAAACCTCCAGCAGAACCAGGCTCAGCTCTCTCATATGCTTATATTAAAGTCCTCCACATCTGTCTTATTGAGCTTTGGACCATAATGGCAGTGAGACGTCAGAATTAGGATTTTAAAATAAAATGGGAGATTTAACTGTATAGATGTTACAATTATAAAGGGCTAGGGTTGGTTGGAAGGATCTTCTGTAGAGGTCTGTCTTGCACTAAGTCTGGAGAAGCCTCTTACTGAAGACAATCTGTTAATGCTTTAACAGTATAATGATGAGGGTGATCATGCTGATCCTTTTTTTTTTTCGGAGAAATTCCCTGTAAAATCATCTCCCAAGGAGTCCCTAGAACAGAGCCGGCCTTATTTATAAACTTTTTAAGTTATTTGCTAGATGCTGTTTTCCCAGTAGATAGTGGCAAAAGGATTTATAGAAGATACACAGCATCTTGCTGCAAACGCTGAAGGTTTTCCAAGCAGGACTTGGACAATTTAACATCCTAGTCTGAATAAAACCTTGTTCTTGTTGCACATTGGATATTCTGTTTGTTTTCCAAAAAGATTTCCTTTTCTGTTGAAGGAAACATACTTTTAAACATTTATTTCATTAATTTCTAAGAACCTTTATTTTAAAAACATAAGCACCATTTTAATCACTTTCAGTTAGAATTGTATCTTTTTTTTATGAAACAGGAAAAATAGATTGATGGGAAAGAGCAATGGTAAAAAAATCTGGAAGTGTGGTCGATTTAAGACTTACCTCAGTAGGGTTTTAGGATTGTTGAAATATCACATAAGTATTTAAACCATGCCAAACCCTTTGTAGGAGATATTTTGATATCTACATTGAGTTCATAACTGTGAGAAAAAACCCTTCATGGCTTTGGGTAGTTCAGTGCACAAAGGTCTATGTTGGTAGCCACAGCACAATGGAAGTTGGAACTTTTGACTTTAAATAGCTCCGCTTTAGAAATAATTCCATATAAATGAACCACATGGGATCAGAAACTCTCTGTAAATCATCATATTTCCGCATAAACTTCACTTGAAATTGGACAAACAACAAAGTAATCTATTGTTTCAAATGGAAAGGATGAAATACTTTGTAGAAAGTGAGTGTACATGTTAAACTACAGGCTTATGAGTTCAGATTTTATCTGCTACTCTGACTATTGAAGTAGAGTTTAAATTTACCTCTACAGAAAGTTTTAAACTGATTGAACAACTGAGATCTCAAACACAAAGCAGAATCATTCATATATAATTTACAATTGGGCAGGTTTTCAGCTAAAACACTTTTTTTTCCATCACTGTCAAACTGTGCTATATTAAGAATTTTTAGATTTAGAGAAATAAAGCAAGTCTGCCTCTTCAGAAATAAAATATAGAACAAAGTGCGACAAGCCTGTACTGGCTTTGCAGGGATGTCCTTTCCTTTGAGGTCTGTATGGTTGTCTTGGTGAGGCAATGTAAATCCCCAGGCATTGCCTTGGAGCAGTTACCATGTGCCACCAGTTCTGCTCCCATCCTGATTTGTTTAACCTTTAAATAAAGAAAGAAGCAATTGAAGGAACCCCTTAATAAAAACCTGCCTTGTTTTGCATTACAATGGATGCCAATTGCTTTATGCAACCAAACCATGGAGTCTGTAACCAGAGCAGTAAACATGAGGCCATCACATTCCAGGCTTCATTTTGATTCTATTTATAGTGGAGCTGCTAATTGATTTCATTGCTTAGTGCTTTCTTTTTTTTTTTTGTATGGGTTAAAATAGATGCTCAAAGCAGTTTAAAAATACTGATATATCTTGCTGCATAAAACAAAAATCCTCCACTTTTTTAATGAGCTTTAAATGTGGTTTTGTGATTGTTAAATGCCATTGACCCAAAAACATTCCTTAATATACCCAATTGGGGTCTGACAACGGGCAAAAGTTTTTCATCTGTTTTCGTCTGAAACTTAATTGCCTCCGATTTTGCAGAGGCAATCTGGATTCAGTGTGCCTGCAGAAAGGTGATCAAATCAAACGGAATGAATTATGAAGTTAATAAAATCCATTTGATCACATTCACTTAAAGCTACAGTGTGTAATAATTACAGGCATATAAAGTCAGAAATTGAATATATTATACATAACTATGTTATTTATCATCACCTATGAGCTCAGCCTTTTAACCTTAATATTTGCGTTGCCTTAGAATTCGTTATTTATAATTACATAGGAGCGGGTCTCGCAGCCATGGAGGCTGACATCTTTGCGCTACGGCAAGCGCAGAGGCAACAAACTAGCGATTGCGAGATCTCCCATTACGCTCGAAAATAACTACGGCAAGTTAAGAGAGATGAACTGAGACGGTACTGAACAGTAGATGGCAGTATTATGTCTGAGAAGCGTTTAGTCTGCCTGAAACCAAAGAAGAAGAAGAAGCAGGTATACTGCGCCTCAGTAACAAGAAAGGTAAACAAGGCGGCAGGCGTGAGTGACTTTGCAAACTGTTTGGCACTGTGTGGCCAAACATCAGACGAATGGAGGATCATGCCTACTCTGTATCACAACGAAAAGCGGCGGACACCGAACCCCCGTCATCTAAGAAGCGGAAACACGACGAGAATAAACGCAAGCGTGACAAGAAACGACAAAAAACACGGATCAACATTGGCACGGCATTTACACGATGGAAGTCACTGATGGAGGAAAAAGGTTTTCAAAGTGACGCTCAAGTTGCCAGTTTTCTCTTGGACAGGTAATTAATCCTACACACACAATTGTCTAATATCACTGCAGTTTTTGGAGTACAGGATGCTCAGACCTGTCTAAAACAATAACATGCTGCGTGATGATGCTGTTACTCTCCAGTATACTTATTCAGCAACGTCCCTGACGTTTCACAGGTAATGATTCAGTAATTTTCTGTAAAATAATTTTCTGGATATATACCTCGGTTACTTCTCTCCGGCTCCTTTGGAGATCTTCAAGCCTTTCCTCCTCTGCTCTCACCCCGCTGGCTCCCCTCCCTCGCCTGGCCCTAGCTGCACGCCCACCACGGCCTCTCTGCCCTCGTCCTCTTCCTCTCCCTCGCCTTGTAACCCCCGTGCCACAAACAAGACTTGGACTCTGTAAACGGGGAATATATATTCTTCCAGCGAACACAATCTCGCTGTTAAACTAATGACTACAATTACTTCGTCTGTTTATATCACCATGCAAAGCAGCTCACCAAAACGTCACAACGATGTAGAAAAAATAACGAGTATATTTATTATCTAAAGTCTACATGAAATCTATACCCTACACAGACTAATGAAATACTATCTGTAAAATTATCTATGTAAACAAACCTCATCACTTGAGAAGGTACAGTAGGTGATTCCGACGTCGTGGAAGACATTTTGTCCCGTAACGCTCGCCGTACTGTTGGGGGGGAGAAGCGGTGGGGGGGAGACGTTCATGTTGCTGCAGTCTGCAGTCTGACCGCTAGATGTCGCTGAAAATTACACACTGTAGCTTTAATTTACGTTGTTTGAGCCCCTTTTTAAACACTACCCGCTAGCGTGATTAAACTCGTGGGGTATGTGCAGTGACAGAAGAGCTCATTTGCTCTTTGTCGTTTTGATTCAATTAAAGAAGCAGAGCACAGTTTCCCCACGTTGGGCCTCTGTGGCCAGACATCCTTTATGAATACAACCCTGTGGTAACCTATAGCTGTTTAATTGTTCTATTTTTGGTCTCTAGGTTTTTTCTTTTTGTACAGCACATTGGTAAACTATTATGCGGTTAAAATTCTTTACAAACCTGGTTAAAGGTTAAGGTTAAATTATTTATGCATGGGTTTAAAAATGAAAAGTTCTTAGGTTACAAGTTTTTTTATTTAAATATTTATATAAACATGATTGTAGTTCTCTATAGTGCCACTTTATCATGTAATTTATTCGTAGTCCTATGCATAAATATTTATTTATATGACCTCTGAGTTCATGACAGTTTACTTCAAGTCCTCTTCAATCACATCATCCACATCCAAGAGTGTTCTCAGCATTGCTTAATTTCCAGCAGTGGATAGTAACAAAGTACATTTACTTGATTACTGTATTTAAGTTATTTCTTTGAGTATATTTACTTTACATGAGGAATTTTTTTGAGGGGGTACTTATAAATTTCACACCACTACAGTTCAAAGTCAAATATTGTATTTTCTACTTCACTCCATTTCCAGGAAGCTGCGAATTACTTGGTCCTTTTGGCTCAGCTTAGATTTGTAATCCTCTGTTGCTGTTTTTCTTTCTTGAAATGACATTTCAACACCACTGTTTTAGAGATTTGCATGACGTTCCACAAATGTGAGAAACTCAGTAGGATTGTAAATTGAGTAGGATGAGTTCTCAAGACAGAGTTGAGAAGAGAGCTTGGTGAGAGTATGAGGAAAATCTAACCACTCCTGATTTTTTTAATGGTTTGTTTTTAAATAAGAAATAAGAATCAAAGGTTTTCTCCATATTTTTTTGTATCATCTTTATGGTTAAGTTTTTTTCCAGGTGGTTTCTGAAAGTTACAAGGTTCTTTAAAATTACTATGAAAATCAGAAAGAAATGTACTGATATTAGAAAATGTAATTTTTATTTTTGAAAACTTTTAAATGCATGTACTTTTGAATACTTAAGTATTTTCAAAATGAATACTTTAATACTTAAACTTGAGTGAATTATTGACCGTGTAACTTACTTATAGTTGAGTAAGATTTGACTATGTACTACAGTACTACTACTACTAAGTACTACAGATGAGAACTTCGTCCACCACTGCCCGTTAACAACCTGCACATCACAGCCAATCAAGTTGAAAATTAGCTTTTTAGGCTTAATAGATTTTCTTTCTGTGAATGCATGAGTGGTTCTAGACAGGGGCATTAGGGGCCAGTGCCCCACAGAACTCTACCTGGCCTCTGTCCTGAAAATTAAATGTCCAAATGTTCTTGAAATGAGTGTATTTTCCCTTAAGTATAGCAGGCAGGTCAAACAAGTTAACCATGGCAAAAACTTTTAAAATAAGAAAAAAAAAAACTCCATTAACTTTTTTAAAATTTCAAATCTTATATAATTTTTAAAAGTACAAATACTCAGTCCTTTGTTAGATCATCATAACTACCTGCTCAAATGAAGTGTAAATATTCTTATTTTTAACTAATTTTTCCTTCTTTTTTAGATCATTCTTTGCTGTGTAATAGTAAATAAATTTTTCGTAAAGACATGCACTGACAGAGGAGAACATAACTGATTTGTACTTTGGACCAATTTCATATTTTGCCTTTACGATTCCTTTGACAATTATTTAGAAATTCCAGAAAGCTTAAAGCTTCAGTCGTATTAAGATCGGTTCACAGTTTTCTTCTGTTAGGTCAGGAGTCTGCAATTTTGGCTTAGTGGCTCATAATATAGTAAAAGATGCCCTCTTGCTCTGTTTGCATTGCAAATTGTGTCTAGAATTGCCACTTTGTGAATGTTTAGTTTACTATGAGCTCTGTGGGGTAAAAATGGTCAGGTTTGTATTTTCTCTTTTTTGTGTGTCATTTGCAAATTGTATTTGCAGTGTTCAGGTAAAAATGTACAGGAAAAATGGTATAAGATATGCAGCTGAGGTCTTGATATCAAGTGTCAAATTCTGAACCACTTCATTGAGGGTTGGTGGCCCCTACACATGCTTTGCCCAAAGTAAGGCTGCTTCAAATTATCAGCAACATTAGATTAAAAATTTACACTTTCCCTCTTTAATTGCTTTCATGCAGACATGTTAAATGTAATTTATTTCGAATACTTAAAGCTTCAAGGAGAGATTTCCTTTGTTGTGAAAAAAACCTAGGTACATCCAAAAAAAGACGAGCAAGTGCAAGGTCCAATACCTAAAGACTAATCAATGCTGCAACCAAAGTTTCCTCGGCAATGAAAGGAAGCAAAACAAAACTTTTACAAAAACATATGAAGGAAGACTGACTGACTGACTAATGGGAATAGGTTTTACAGTACATATATAATTAGATTTTATAAGATGAAGTCCAAATTAGTTTTTGACATCTGAAAAATCAAATGTAATATAAATATATTTATATAAAACAACGAGAGAATATTAAGGTATAACCCAGACCAGTACATTTACAGATTAGTATTGCAGCCAGCAAACTCTTTACACCCAATCGCATAGTTTTACATTAATGAAAACCTTATTTTGCTATTAATAAAAACTTCTTAAATCATTATTAAACTTAAGTATACCATAAAAAAAATAGTGAAGTAGTAAATCTAGTAATAAAATGTTTTTTTTTGTCCGTGGCCATGGTTGGAATGTTTGACATACAGATGAAAAATGAAATATATCAACCAGTAGATGGCAGCAAAAAGCAAGACAGAGTTAAACAGAAAAAAAAAAAAAATTTTTTCTCTTAATTCCAGTCCTCTATTATTTTTGCAGCGCTGATCTCTCAGTCCTGACCTTCACACCACCATCTGTCAAGACAGATATAGATCCTGACAGTAACAGCTCTGTGAGGAGCCATCAAGGGTCTAATCTTCACAAGGTCCCTCATTCAGGTGGACATACATTACCTTACTCTCCTTGTCCCTGCCCTTTCCAAGCACATCCTTCCGCGATAATGTAGGAGAGGTGTGGATGCCCACTTAATGAAGGAAAAAACAGTCTTATTAATTACACACTTCTACTGAATGCCACTGAGAGACTGAGATCTACTGAATGTGGCGTATCAGAAAGGCATTGGTTTCCAATGGTAAATCCAACTTAAGCTTATTGGAGTCAAACAACTCGCTCTAACATCCACATTACCTCTCATTGGGATTCTTCCAGCTCACCACAAAGCATATCAGAAATGATCCAGCATGTTGTTGACTAGCAGATGGATAGGTCATGTTTCCTTTGAGTCCCAAGGACGTTTGGACAGTTATACATTAGTTAAATCACAACATGCTGTGTGCTTGGAGTGAAAAATGATCTGCTGATTGTGGTTGCCACTGTGGTTACAGTCCATCAACTTCCTGCTGCTCATTGCATTTAAAAAATGCACTTCACTGATGCTTTGTAATGAGTTTCACTCCCTGACTTTGTCTGTTTTGAAGATACCTGGAAATATGAAGCCATTACTTTCCAGATTACGCACTCAAAAAAAATAAAATCGCGCAAGCAGAAACTTGATATTTAAAAGGGAAATAACCCTTTCTAATTACACTTTTATTCGGTTCCATGGTTGTCTTCTCAGGAAACAGACTTCTTGAGTATAGAAGTATACCTCAGTTTATTAAAAATTAAATAATAAATAGATAAACAATACAACTATTACTTCAATTTGTGTTAGTGATTAAAACTGAGCACAAACACACATGATTAATCGGATACATAATAATATCATTGTTAAGAAAAGAAACCCTTCCATATAGAAAGCCAATATTCTTAGTTTCAGCTACCACAGTATACATGTCAGATTAAATAATACTACTTATACTTCAGCGATAGTATCTAGGTGTTACTTTATTGTATGTCTTGTAACATGTCTGTTGGATGTGCTGTTCTTTTTATGTCTCTTTGCAGGTGATGAAGCAAATATTTCATCGTTATCTCTCTTTTATTTCCTCTTTCTTTCATCTTTCCTCCTTTTTTTATGTTTTCTTTTCCTGTTCCTGTTACTGCTAACCCTAACCTTAACCCGAACCCACCTCTATATCATTACTGCTTCATAGTTACCAAAGCGACTCTTACTTCTTTGTCTTTTAGCTATTTTATAAATGTATATTCCTATCGAATAGCTTAAAATATGGGAATCATGATTAGACAGAATATATGAAAACACCTGTCTGTGCATTATTCTTGCAAGGATAATAATGTTTTTCTCTCAGTGAAGTGAATTGATGAATTATATGAACCTCTCAATTTCCTTTGCTAAAAGTACTGGTGCCCAGTGGCGGTTCTAGACCAAATGTACCAGGGGACCAGGAGGGGGCCAGAGTGTCTTCATGGGGGCACAGAAAAGCATGGAATAAAAAACAGGGCAAGGGATACAAATGTATTAAGAGAGCTGCATGAAGTGAAATTTCTATTCAATTAGGTTTAGTAAAATTTTTATTTCCAATAAGGTCAACAACTTTAAGTTAATTAAGTTTCTATAAAGTCTGAATTAGAACTAAAAAAAAATTGATAAATTCAGCTGTAAAAATTAGAGTATTTTTTCCAAATTTGTTTTGAAAAAAACAAACATTTAGCAGATGAAAACTGGGATCCTATCTCAATGCCATTGAAGCTATTGCCGTATTGTTTTTAAATAATTAGTAAACCATAATTTGAAAAGGAGGTCAATATACATTTATAGTTTAGGAATTTTGCATATTTTTCACTTAATTTAAGTTAAAATGACCATTTTCTATAAAAACTGAATTAGAACTCAAGAAAAACTGATAAATTAAGCATTAGAATATTTCAAATTTATTTAGAAAAAAAAATTAGCAGATATAAACTGGGATCCTATCTCAATACCATTGAAGCAATGCCTTTTTTTTTTTTTATAATTAGTAAACCATAATTTGAAAAGGAGGTCAACATACATTAATAATTTAGGAATTTTACATATTTTTCCACTTAATTTAAGTTAAAATGACCATTTTTAAAAATATCTGACTTAGAACTCAAGAAAAACTGATAAATTCAGCTGTAAAAATTTGAGTACTTTTTCAAATTTGTTTTGAAAAAACCCCCAAAACATTTAGCAGATAAAAACTGGGATCCTATCTCAATACCATTGAAGCTATCGCCTTATTGATTTAAATAATTAGTAAACCATAATTTGAAAAGAAAAAAAATGAAATAGATCCAAATGACCTCTCTGTTACCATGTCTGTTCCAGCCCATCATCATTAGAATTTCTTTTAAGTATTATGTCTTCAGTAAAGGGGCCAGGACATGATCTACGGTGGCACTGGCCCCGTTGGCCCCTATCTAGAACCGCCCGTGCGGGTGCCCCATCCCAACATCATTACTCCACCATGGCAACCCCTTAGAAAACCTTTTTGCAGATGCCCCTAGTGAAAAAAAGGTGTGGCATTCTCAAACATTTCCCCCTCAATAGTCAGACTGCCATCATCGATCTCATTCTGACTCAATTGCTCGTTTAAAGAGGCCAACGTTAAGCTATTTTAGTTTAAACGACCCTTCCAGCAAAGAACGACCCAGGCAGGGTCACCATCGCTTCCAACCTGGGACCAGATAACGTACATGTTAATGGTTTTTAAAGGAAAAACTATTTATTTGCTTGTATGTAATATTTACCCAATCCCCCTCCTGCTCCTTTTACGCGCCTCCGCTGCGCCTGCAAAAAAACACCAAAGCGCAAAAGCGCAGAACGCATGTGAGCAGCCTCCTCTGGAGCGATGACATTTCGGTGGAGATGAAGTAACCAGCTTGGTGTGTCAAAGAGCTGCTTGCAGTTACTGTATAGCTCACCCACCCTGCGCGCAATGGCACGGAGCGCTCCAACAGCTGGAGCTGGAGGCTGTCACCGGATAAGTTTCATGTCAGCTCGGACTAAGCGGCTCCATGATGGCATCTGGTGAATTCTCCACTGGGAAACGGTGACATGTGTCCACTTTGCGTTTAAAGAGGGGGGGCGCGCTCCGAATACAGCACCATTAAGGACTATAAATGTTATAGGTAAGCTTCATTCCGAGCTTTTTTTGCGTCTTAAACTGGCTTTAGTAGCTATTTTGATCACTTGTATAATAGTCATGGACTTTATTTAACATCTGCCTTTTTTCAGAAGTCTCTATTAGACGCTCTATTCTCAAAAGTTTATGAAATTTGGGCTCATTTAAAGATTTTACGATTGTTAATATTTGATGAATTTCATATAAATCAAAGAAGCAGAAAAACAACCGGATTGTGTCAGTCTTGATTGCCTATAAATCATTCTTGCTATGCGTCCTTTCAAGGGCTCCCATCCTTTAAAAACGCCCTGGCAGATTTCAGAGTACATTAACTATGCACTAAAAGGTCATGGGATGCACAGCAGATTGTTTCCTGAAGCAAAAGGGTAAAAATGAGTCTAATTTCAGAGTATAAATAAACCCTTGACTGCGCTCATATTAAAAATTTATTTTTATTCATGGATTTGCATTCTTTACAATTCCCTGAAATAATTTATGATTGCAATGTTATGCAGCTTCCAAAAATATTTTTTGGCTTAAAATTTACCATTGCACTTCTTGCTTTTCTGTCTCAGTGCCTTGACTTCCTCTGCTTCTTCAGTTTCTCCATTAATGTGATACTGGGTCCATTCAGGAACTGGCTGGAATAATAAACCGGGGAAAATCTTTAGAAACTTGAGTGCAAGCCAGGTCTAAACCCAACCCGCAGCCTTTTTTGCTAAATTCTTACATTTCTGCTCTTGAGGGAGAGAGGAGCAGAATAAGAGGGATCTTTTTGAGCTCCTATACATAAACTAGACATTTTTATGTAAGAAAGTGAGACTATGGCAAATTATTTCAGAACCCTTTCTGCCTTTTATGTGACATTTATCATTTTAATTAAACTAAAATGACTAAAAGGGAAAACTGAATATAAAATATATGATTTGTTTGCAAGGTTATTTTTGAAAAAACATATGTGTTAATATCTGTTTCGAACATAAGAACATAATTAGTTCCAAATATAATCCATTTAGTTTTTTTTTGTTTTTTTTACATTAACTATTTGACTAGCTAAACCCATAATTTAGATCAAAGTGATATTATGGACAAAGGTGTCTGTCAGGAGAAAGGCAGAGAAAATCCACGGCAACATATACTGTATGTAGATAGATCCAATACTGTGGCAAAAGGAGTTAGACATTTCCAGATAGTGCTGGTTGTGTTCTTTGTGTGACAGAAATCTCCAAAACTTCCATGAGAATGTATTATGGTCTTTTGAAACCAAACATGGATAATTTTGTAACAATTTAAAAAAGTAATTTTGTGAGGGAGCATCACCAAAACAATAACCAATACCATCAGTGGAACATAGGGGTAGCAGCATGTTACTCTGGGCTTATATAAACAGAACTTAACTTATTTTCAAAGCAGTTAAAGTATAGTACAGTTATAAATGTCAGTCTTGAAGAAACCAGACATAAAAAAAAAAAAATAATTTCCCACTCTTCAAAGTCCAAACATTTTATCCAGATCATCCATAGAATTAGTTAAAATGGAAGACATTTAAGGTTTAGGAACGTTGGTCTGCATTTCAGATCAAAGTCTTATAGAATATTTGTGGGACTGTGTGAGGAAAGCTGAAGAAAACAAAAAATCAAAGCTGATGGATTTGGGGAACTTTTTCTAGGAAGAGTGAGAAAATATTGAGAAGTCAAGACATGGGGAGCTGAGAGACCAAAGGAGATTCATTGCTGAAAATGAATGAAATGATGCTAAATTTGAAGGTGTGCATACTTATGGAGCCTAGGTGGAAGTTCAACTGAATAAACTCGCCTTCTTCCGCCTATGACACAGCCCATCAGCTTTGAACCACGCCTCCACGAAAGCCAATCAGCATCCAAAGTTCATCTTAAAAGGCCTCCGATCCACATCGTCTGCTACCTAGTGCGCAGGCGGTAGATGCGCTGTGTGACTTCATTCAGATGACCCCGTTTCAACCCACCTCCAGCCCCTCCTCAACCATCACAGCTAAACTTCATCAGAGTGTCATTCCTCCCAGACTCTTACTGCGTTCCGCATCTCATTTCAACTGGTCTGGCAGAAGACTGCCATGTTTAGCCTGGTTCTGCCAAAGGCTTCTTCCCAACGGGGATTTTTTTCTCTCCACTGTCGCTCCATGCTTGCTCATCACGGACAGGTTCTCTCAACCTGTGTTATCCAACTGGACTTCCATCTTCCAGGTCCCTGAGTAAAGCTCTAGTATCACTGGATCCACTGGATCTCCCCATAAAGCTCAGCATACCGTCTCACTAACCAGCAGACTACAGACTGACCAACTTCATCTATCTCCACTCCACCACCAGTTTCAGGCCTGGGGGGAACAGCCCTATTCTTTACTTCTGTTCATGCATATCTATCAAAATTAAGTGCTATGTTTCCTGTCAAGGTCTGAGCGCCAAAGACAAAGTAATTGTATCAATAAATTTCTCCTAATTGTCTTTTCTCTCCGTTTGAGTTTTTCAGATTGAAATAAAACCAGGTTAATGTAGCTTTTATTCTTTGCATTCCCGCCAAGACAGATTTACTTCTGAAGTTAAAATGTAAACGATAAATACCATATTAAAGGTGAAGAAAGAGCTGAATTTATATATATATATATATATATATATATATATATATATATATATATATATATATATATATATATATATATATATATATATATATATATATATATATATAGGTCTAAATTAGCTTTTTAACAGGGATTGCAGATTTTTGTTATATCTGCTTCTGTAGGCACAGGTGTGAGCATGAGTACCACTCTGATGTTTGGCTTCAGGCCAGGCTGGGGGGTTTGGAGACAAATGAGAGGGAAGATGAAGTGCAAGGAGCAGAAAATGGGACTACAGCCAACTGGACATCTCAGGAATGGTAGCTTGCACTTGTGATGTGTTAACCTTACTGACTCTGCTCAAAAGCATGCAACTACAGCCCTCAACAAAGCTAACATATCATTTTAATAGTTGTACCAAACTAAATAAATGTCTTGCGCTGTTTAAAGCATTAATTTCTGCAGCGTCTTTAGTTAAGCGTGCCTACTGGAAGCAATAAGGATGACAGTATTACCTCTGCTTCTCATTTAACAGGAAAACTAAAGACAGTGTCGCATGGAAACAGGAGTGATGCGCAGAAAATAGGATTTCAGCTGGGATTTCAACCTTTACGTTTCTTTTATCAGTTTATCTGTTTTTTCTGTTGCTAAGAAGCAGTTTTCCCAGACGGAGCTTTGTTGTGAAATTGTGCTCCCATCATCAGAGGACAATTATGCTGCACTTATCTGACTAATGAGCTGTTAGAAATATATTTTCCATGTTTGCATGGGAATCCAAAGGAGAGGATGTACTGTGACTATCAGACGAGCGCTAAACAATGCTCCTTTTCTTGTTTTGGTAGGTTTGCCAAGTATCTCACCTCCCATGTAACTGGGGAAAAGCCATGGCAATGTTTAGCAGTGCAGAGCGACTCTGGAACGAGTCGGACCGACCTGGCTGGGATCAGAAGAATGAGAGCACGGACTCTTTGGGGGAGGATGAGCGCAACTACTACGCCATGCTGTACTCCCTGCTCATCTTGGCCATTGTGTTTGGGAACGTGTTGGTGTGCCTGGCTGTGCTGAGGGAGCGCTCTCTCCAGACCACAACAAACTACCTGGTGGTCAGCCTGGCTGTGGCTGACCTGCTGGTTGCCTCGCTGGTCATGCCCTGGGCCGTATACCTGGAGGTTGGTACCTGAACTTATAAATTGGCTAACAAAGAACATAAGAAGTAATGTTTTTTTAGTTCTCCACATCCCTATAATATCCTAAAAAAAGTATTTAAACCCTTACTAAACTAGGTGTAAATATTTTGGATCATCTAACCTACTATTATATCAACAAAACTTATTCTAAATGGAAACAAGATGCAGATTATAAATGATGATGTCCATGTTGTCCAAACCACTAGAACAAAATGTTGTTTTTTTTATAATTATTTAACTGATTACATTATTTTTTTTTGCCTTACTTTCAGAAGCCTTAAGGCTGGGCATACACTGTACAACTTTTTTCCCTTTTTGGGGCGATTCTCCAGTCGTGCAAGAATATTTTCGTTGGACTCCTGATCAAGAATCGTACGATCAGAAGAAAATAAAACATTTTTGAAATTCAGTCCACCCTCGTGAGGTGTGGGTGGTTAAATCCTGCTGTTGAAGCAGAGCTACAAGCATCTACGAGCCAATTTACCAGAACTTCTAGCAGTATGCATGTGCAAACAATGGAGTTCTTCTTCCAGATTGATGAGTCCGACTGGCGTCAGCTCTTGGTGCTGAGTCCGACGTGTGGTTTTTGGATGTGCAGTGTGAGCATGTAGATCGCATCAGAGCATCGGGCCGTACAGTGTGAGAACATACACGGGATCTGTGAAGTTTTAAACCCTGCAGTTTCGTCATACAGTTTAAACTGTAGCTGAGTACAACAATTGAAATTATCGTACAATGTATGCCCGGCTTTACCCAACCTGGTTACTGCCTGACCTGTAAAAGAAAAAAAAAAAACCACACAATTAACATGGAAGCTGCTTAGCATATAAAGCCGGCTAATTAAAAAAGGCATCACTCTGTTGGAAAGCCATGTACAATGCTTTAGGGTTCCCTTTTAGGGTTGCTGAAAATGCAAACACTGGTGAATGTAGAAAGGAGTCACCAGGAAAACATAATTACTCCAAAAAGGCATAATTTAATAATCTAGGAGATCAAAAAGGTTCTGAAAACTAAAACTGAAAACTTCTGAAATTATTACATACTTTTCAATAAATGATAAGCGTTTTTAAGTAGGAGTAATTGTTATTTGAATGGTCTTTACTGGAGACATCCATGTTTGTCAAAGAGCACTAGTGAGCACTACTGCCACCCACCAGTTTGTGGCATCACTTGTGGTCCTTTGAAGTAACACAAGCCTCAGTTGCCTTAGTCAATCGCCAAAAAATGTTCAGGTTCCTTTTTTTCCCATCAAATGGACTGTAGCTTTGCATTACATGGTTTCGTTATACAAAGTTGTTTTACATTTAGCTGTGACAGTATAACAGATCAATGATTAATGAATGCATTGCAACTGGCCAAGATCTACTTTATCATGTCGGCAAGTATTAGTGATGGTGCATGCTGACCAGAGATGTTGAGAGAGATGTGAAATTCTAATGCTTTACTTCTGAATGCTTGCAGAGTTTATTTAATGATTGTGTTTCCATCCCATCTATGGCATATTTACTGTACGTTTGAAACCATGTCAAGTGAGCATAAAAGCTTTTTTAGAAAATTTTGTAACTTGATTAAAATATAAAGATATTTCTATCAACCTCTTCTATTATGACCCTTCAAATTGCGCATATAAAATCACTGATGGAAATATATGATGTCGCTAAACAAAAGGAAAGAGAATGGGAAATAATTATTTAAATAGCCGACACTCAAGGAAAACCTGTCGCTGAAAAGATCAAACAAAAATGTTTAATTGTCAAAACCATTGGGCTGATCCACCAGACCTTTGGAAAAATACTCACTGGGCTGACAAGATAAAAGTGAAAAATTTTGGAAGATATGCATGTTTTAAATTTTGCATAAAACTAACCCAGCTTCCAGAATAAGTTATTTTAGAGTCAGGTTACAGTTACCCTGTTACATACAGTATGGACAGGTTTGCATGAATATGCTTTTTTCTTTAATAAATAAAAACCTCATTTTAATTCAACCTAGAGAAACTCCCACAAAGAAAAGAAGCAATTAGAAAGATTTTATTGACAAGAATTAAAATAAGTTCTTTTTGCGCTCTGACACAATGTCTCAGAGGAGACATTATGCTGTAAGTCGTCATGAGCCTGTATGAATAACTTAAGAAGATGATTAGAGTAATCTTCCCCCTGGGCCCATCCATACTAGCATCGTCCATATTACAGATTTCAAGTAACAAAGTACAAATACTTGCCTTAATTAAGTATACATTTCGACTTTCTATACTTTTCTGGAGTAATTCTTTTTTAGACAACTTTTCACTTCTATGCCTTACATTTATTTGCATTTATCTCAACTTTCTACTCCTTATATTTTAAAAATAGACTTTATTTTCGTTTCATTTAAGCAAATTTTCATTATGGCCTGTTGATGTTTAAAAAACGTTAAAACCGTCAAAATAATTAGTTTCATCCAGACAATTTCTTTGTGGTTGGACTTAGTACTGCGCCAAGTTGTTGTTCGCCATCTACCAAAATAAATAGTGTTTCAAGATGATGCAAAGGTAAATTTGACACCGTTACCATTAGTTATAAGGAAGTATAAGAATAAGTATATTAAAAGGAAGGTATCATCCAGAATTGTAGGAAAAATGTTCCTTTAGTTGCCTAGTACAATAAAGCATTTCAATTTTTTTTTCCTGCATTAGTTTTACTTTTATATTTTAAGTAATTTTAAAAATGGTACTTTCACACGTTTACTTGAATAAAAAGCTTAAGTTGGTAATTTAACTTCTACAAAAGTGTTTTTAATCAATACAATGTATACTTCTACTTGAATAATAAACATTAGTAGTTTTGACACCTCTATTCCATACCACCAATAGAAGTTGAATTTGCCAAAATGTTTATATTTTCTTTTATATGATAGTCTTGCTCTCTCATTTTTAAAAACATGTTTACCATTCTGAATTAGACAAAAATATTTAGATTCAAATAGATCATTGTAAGAACAGTTGTTTTAAAGGATAGAATGCTCTTCGTAATGCCTTTTATATGCTGCATCATAAAAGGAATTACCCTGTTACTAATGAGATTTGTACAGAGTAACTTGTTGTAGACTAGACTGCAGCCATGCTGCAGTGCTAATTCCAGCTCTTGCATACACATGAGTAATGAGTAAAAGCTCATTTTTATTTTTACTGAATCTACAACATTAATGTTAAGAGTGTTATTTTAGGATTGCCCAACTTCCTTCTAATAATTAGTATATTTCAAGTGTTACCTGATTTGAAAACTGTATTGTTCATATAGTTCTACATATATTTTATTAGATTAAATTCAGGTTAAACAGTTTGACTATTCAAGCAATTTTAATATGAATACATATTCAGGAGTTTAACAGTAATCATTCAAAAAAATCAAACATGCCAGTTATTTTCTTTAATTACTTTATAATTTTCTCTTTTATTTTCATTTTTTCACTAATTAACTACAAAGGGCATATCTACCACAATTTCATTAATTAAAGCCTATTTAATCCTAATTTATGTCATAAATTGTTTATAATTAGGTTGGCATTTTGTCTTGACTTTAAATGGCTCTTGTATTTTTTTTGTCTTTTTTTTCTAATCACTGTACTTTAAATTCTGATAAGCACCAGTGAATAATAATGTTCTAAAATAATACCATTATCTCAAATTGCTAAATAATTACTCAGTGATATACTAATTCATTGAAGTCTTAGACCTAATTGATGATAAGTATAAGAGCCCTGAAAGAGTATAGGTTAAATAGAAAAGGCTATTCATCTTAATTAATTGTTATTTACCATCTAATTGTTAATTTACTTCAGCACCTCCTGTCATGCTCATTGCTCGGCAACGCCATTACGTGTACCTCAAGCATCCACGTTTAATCAAAGAAAAAGACTGCACTCTAAAGACAGGCTGTAAGAGAGTAATGTTTATATTTGGCACCACTGAAGCATCTAATTGTGTTTTATCCAGGATGGACTTCACACAGGGCCGGATTTAGAAAATGTTTGGGCCCTAGGCAAAGGGTTAGGGTTAGACACACTTAATATCATAAGCATTCTGATGGCATTTTAGCGAAAAGATTTTTATCAAAAACATAATTAATGTGCACAAATAAGTAATACTTGTATTAACCATACATGTTTAAGGAGTTTTATTGGGCCCCCTGGCACTTGGGGTTCTAGGCAATCACCTAGTTTTGCCTAAATATAAATCCGTTATGCTGTCCTAGCTTTTTTTTTTTTTTGCCTTCATTTTGGATTAAATCAATTATTTAATTTCATAAATACTGGAGCATTAACAGAGCATAATATAAAATTTCCAAATAATTTAGTTTTAAGGCTAAATGCAAACGAAAGCAGTTCTAAGATCAGGGAGGAAGAAAATATACCAAGCTTAATACTAAATACCTTATGAATCTGCTCAAGTAAGCACCATCAGCTGCAGGAAGAAAAGGGGAGGATTATGTTATTGTGACCACAGGGTGTCTATTTAGCTGCTTCACAGAAATGTGATGATCTCTCTTTCTGCTGCGAGGATGAACAAATCATACGCTTCCTCCCAAGTTACCTTATCCTTCGATGGTTGAGCTGAGCTATGACCTCTGCCTGAATAAAAGTGGCAGCTACTTGCAGCAGAGAATGAGCAATCTCTTTTCACAGCTCACCCTAAATTATTCTTCTTAGTTTTGAACACCTGACTTGTCTACAGCAACAGCTTCATAAAAGTACAAGGACTTGCTAAAGTATTCGTACCCCATAAATATTTTCCCATTTTGTCACAGCCAAAAACTTTGATATATTTATTTGGTAGTTTATGTGATTTACCACCTACAAGATAGTGTAAATATTTGAAACTAGAGGAAAAAACTGAAGGTGGTTTTGAATGCTGTCTTTTTATAAACATAATATGTAACATGGAAGATGTATGAGTATCCAGCCCCAGAGTCAAAACTTTGTAGAGCTGCCTTTTTGTACAATTT